TATAAAAATATAGCACATACAATTATGCACTATACATAATCCTTGATAATGATAGAAATGATGTTACTGGCTTATATATTTACTATACAATACTTTCAATCACTGTTTTATAGTGTACACCTGCTTATAAAAAAATAAGCTACCTATAAAACAGCCTCAGGCAGGGCCAATCCTTTGGGAGCTGTTCCAGAAGAAGGCATTGTTTCTCCTCGGTGATGGCAGCTTTATGCATGTTGTGGTCTCTGCAGACCTACCAGAGAGAAAAGATATGGAGGTGGAAGACAATAATATTGATGATTCAGATCCCCCATTGGCTTATGCTTATGTGTGTGTTTGTGTCTATTTTTTAAGGTTAAAAAGTAAAATAAAAATAACTTTAAAATTTTTAAGTAAAAATATATTGAATAATAAAATATTTTGTATAACTTAATATAGTTAAGCTAAGTGTTATTACAAAGAGCTAAAAAATTAAAAATTTGTAAAACAGATATAGTAAGCGAAGGCTAATTTACAATTGAAAGAAAAAAAACCTTTAAAGGAAATTTAGTGGATCCTAGGGGTATGGAATATGTGAAATCTATAGCAGTGTGCACTAATGTCTGATCTTCACATTTGCTCACTGTTACTCACCAACTCACCCACAGCACCTTCCAGTCTTGCTAGCTCCAAGAATTATGTATAGTGCATAATTCCTGGAAGGACCCTATACGGGTATCTTTTAGTCAGCTTTGTATACTGCTGTGACCCAAAGACCTGACAAGAACAATTAGAGGAGGAAAAGTTTACTTTGTGACTCATGGTTTCAGAAGTCTCAGTCCATACACAGCAGACTCCATTCTTTGGAACTCGAGGTGAGGCTGAATATCATGGTGGAAGAGTGTGGTAGAGAAAAGTAGCTCAAGACATCACACCAGGAAGCAGAAAAATATATACCCCGAGTGCAAGCCCCCAGTGACTCACCTCTTCCAGCTACACACTACCTGCCTTCAGTTATCACTCAATTCATCCTTATCAGGGAATTAATTCACTGATAGGGTTAAGGTACTTAAACCTAAATATTCTTGCATTGCTTCAAATAGAAGATTTTTGGGGTGACATCTCATACCTAAACTATTTCATATCTAATCCATAACAAGGTCTATCATTTTCTATTTTTTATACCATATTTTTTAACAAGCTTCTTTCTAAGTTTAGATATGTTTAGACACACAAATTCATACCAATATGTTACAGCTGCCTATGGTATTTAATACAGTAACATGATATATGGATTTATAGTAGCAAAAATCTATACCGTATAGCCTAGGTGCACTCTAGTTTGTGTAAGTGCACTCTGAGATGTTTGTATAGTGATGAAATCATCTAACAATGCATTTCGCAGAATGTATCCCTATCATTAGGGATTGAAGGCCCAACAAGTTCACATTCTGGGTAAATATTTACTTACTGTGTGTCCTTGGAAAACTCCAGACTGAATTTCTCCAAGCCTCAGTGTTCCTTTTTACAAAATGGGATGTTGATGTGTGTGGTGGGGGGGGGAAGGGAGAGACTGTATTTTCAATTTCAATATATTATCTATTATTTTTCCAAAGCTCTTACAGAAAAACAGACACCAAAAGGTTAAATAATTTGTCCAATGTTGCACATGAAGCAGGCCAAAGATTAGACCCAAGTTGTTTTAGTCAGCTTTGCATTGCTGTAACCAAAATACCTAACAAGAACAACTGTGAGAAGTAAAAGTTTATTTTGGCCTCATGGTGTCAGAGGTTCAGTCCATGGACATCCAGCTTCATCGTTCTGGGCCCAAGGTGAGACAAAACATCATAGCAGAAGGTTGTCATGGAGGAAAGCTGCTCAACTCATGTTGGCCAGGAGAGAGTGATATCCAGGTGCCAGGTGCCAAGGGCATGCCTCATGTGACCTACCTCCTCCAGCCATGCCCCACCTGCCTATTAGTCCTCATTTAGTTGATTCAAATTATTAATCCATCAAATGGATCCACTGCTTATGTTACAATCTTCAAAATCTAATTGTTTCGCTTCTGAACATTTCTATATTAACAGGAGCTTTTGGAGGACTCCTTATCTCCAAATCAAAACATCAGGATTCACTCTTGAACTAAGAGGATTCAGTTGAGAGTGATATAATGTAATGAAAGTGTGATGGACCAGATTAAATTTCAATAATTATAAGTGAAATGTTGACTTTATCAAAGAAAGTGAACTTCAAAGATCTGACACTAGCCCATATGTGAAACTCTTTTTAGGTTGTGTCTATTTTGATTCATCAACAAATGAACATTGGAGTTGGGTAGCATTTTTGAATTTTTAAATCTTTTAAATTAAAAAAAAACACTAAGAATTAATGTGGCGGTTTTTATCTTCAAATTAAAACAGAAATTTTTATACTATGACTTTGCGCCAAAACAGTGAACAAAAACTAAATTTTGTCTCTTTGTCTGAAGAAACTTAAAACTCTTTTTCCTATTTATACTTCTTACTTCATTCCTAATATAGGTGAACAAAGAAATAACATTCTTTTTTTATATAAGAATTGTGTTACAGCTTTCTTGAAATGTAGAACATTAAACTCAAAAGTTCTTAGTTTGAGCTTCTAATCAGCTGTGTGATCTAGATGATACATTGAGTTCGTTTAAATCTCAGTTTCCTCATACAAAATGAAGTTAATGACATTGCTTGATGTAATCACATACTTCCTTACATTTACTGTGCCAATGGTAAGGGAAGCAGTATTGTATAGGTGTTGAACCCATACTGGGTTCGTATTGTGTGTTTAATACTGTGTGTACTGCTGTGTATACTTGGAAAACTCAGATTTGATTTCTCCAAGCCTTACTTTCTTCATTTACAAAAGGGAGATATATGTTCCTCTCTCTTTCTGTCATACACACACACACACACACACACACACACACACACACAGATGTTAGAAAATATGAGATAAGGAAAAATATCTCATAATGTGAGTGGATGTAACATGTGGAGATTCTATTGCTTCTTTCTGATTCCATGCTGTGACTACATTATTTATTTATCTATCTACTTATTTATTTATTTGTATTGTTGAACTGTGGGTTGGTCTCTGGGATAATCAACCATTGATCTATATTCTCAGATCTTTTTTAAACAATCTTATTTTGAAACAGGGTCTCCCCAAGTTGCTGAGGCTGGCATTGAACTTGTCATCCTCCTGCCTCATTTTATGTGACACCTGGGCAGTTGAACTGGCCCCTGTATCCCCTCATACTTTCAACATTCTGTTTATTTGCTAGCACTACTCCTTTACACACTTGAAGATCAGGTTTTTTCAGCATCACTCTATGTACGTTGTGATCTAAAGACAGTCAGGAAAGATGGATCTCCAGCCATCTTCCTATACATATTTCTGGTGTGTTAGTCCATTTTCAATGATGCATTCCTTTAAGTTATGATTTCTTCACCTTGGCATCACTTTGAGCAAGAAAACTGCTGTGGAGGGCTGTCTTATGCATTGTTGAATACTTAGCAGCGTCTTTGCCCTTACACACTAGATCCCAGTGTGCCAACCAAACTATTTCCAACCTCGCCAAATGTCCTCTGGAGGATGGAACTATCTTCAGTTAAGAACTTCAGCTTTAGGTCAACACTGAAAGGAAAGTGACCACGATACTTTGAATGACCAAGAGATCTTTATTGCAGCTGTGTCTGATTGATAGAGAAGGAAAAGAAAAAGAGAGAAGGAGAGAAAGAGAGCAGGGAAGGAGAGAGCAAAGTGAGAGAGAGAGAGAAAGAGAGAGAGAGAGAGAGAGGAGAGAGAAGCCAGGGTGGGAGAGGACAAAGCAAGGGGTGGGGGAGGGAGAGCAAAGCACAAGAGAAAGAGAAAGCAAGAGAAGAGAGAGTTTCAGCAGAAGAGAGTTTTTATAGCCCAAATCTAATGGGGTCTCTGGGTCTGCAAGCTGCCTTGTTGGCATACAATGATTGGATCATACAGTAGTTGCTAAGGTTGACATCTTCTGCCTTCAGGCAGATTGGACAGGGGCTAGATGTGGGTTTCTGTTGCACCAGATGGGTGGGGGTCGAGTGTTCAGACTTGAGGCAAACAGTGATAAGGACCCAGACAGATGGGGGTCCAGTGTTCAGCCCACCCTACAGCTAACATTTGTTTAGCCTGCTCAGCAACTAACAAACACCTTCTTTCTTACACACACACACACACACACACACACACACACATACACACACTTAATCCTTCTTCCCTCTCCTTTTCCTCATCCTCTTGTCCTCTTCCTCCTACTACTTGTTAATTAAACTTTTCCCCAGATTGTCCTTTTCTGAGTACTATACCTATCCTCTCTTGTAGGCAGGAGAAAAAAAGAAAATGCAGATTCTAGAATCAGAGCCTATGAAGGTAGTATCAGGTTTTTAATATTTGCCCTAAGTGTTTGCATTTCAGCTAAAGATAATATCTGTGGATTCCATTCCAAATTTCATCATAGTTTCTTCATCTTTCCCAACCTTCCTTTAGAAAAATGAAAGCATACTGGTCTTCCCAGGATATGACACATGAAGCACTTAATAGTCACTAAAACTTAGGTAGTCAACTAAGGTTGATAAAGGCTGAAGGAGTTCCCAGGCGGTCAAAATTTTCAGTGGTAAAATTGGGAAAATCTTGGGAAAATTTAGATGAGTTGGTCACCCTAAACTTATTGTGCAGCACAATGAACCATGTGGTCTAGTATGTGTATAAAGTATCTTTCACACAAGCACAGACCAAATATCTATCAGTAATAAAAATTCAATTTCAATCTAAATTTTTGTGCTTTTTAAATGTATTGTAAAGTTGATTCCCAGTACAATACTCTTACCCTGTTCTTCCTCTCCATAATTATCTTAGACTCACTGTACTCCAGCATAGTTCATTTGTCCTAAATCTTTGGAATTATCTTATCTGTTTATTTTGAAGAATAACTGAACATCTCTCTTTTCTCTTCCACCTTTCAGGGCACATCTTCATTGCCGCCTTTCAATTTGAAGCAGGAACTGGCTTGGCAGCAACATACAAAACACACAGTGTGTCAATGGATTGTTGAATACTTAGCAGCATCTTTGCCCTTACACACTATTTTATTCCAGTGTGCTGAGAGAAAGGGAGTCATCAGACCCATACCCTCTTCTGTGGGGGAAAAGTTACAGGGTGTTTACAGGCAATAGCACCTATATATTAGCTTATGAGCTCGTTTCAGTAAGAATTATTGGAAGTGAAAGCAGAGGAACAAGAAAATAACAGTTGAGGCTTGGTGAGATATGAAGATGGAAAAAAGAAGATACATCCATTTAGGGTACTGCTTATATGGCCACAAGGAGATGTAAGATGGCCAGAGGTCAGTATTAGTTCCTGAGTACTGGACAGGGGCAGAGGTTAAAGGCAAGGGCATTAAAAAGGAATACAATTTGCTGTTCCATTGCATTGGAATAAGCCAGTGTCATTTTCTCCTTAACATCCTTACCCTGAGCTCCCTCCCTGCCCTTTTCAAACTTATCTACCCTTAATTTTCTTTTCCTTAAATATTTTTGAAGTCACTACACATACTATAATTTATTTGTTTGTTTGTTTATTTATTTATTTATTTGCAAAAAGATTCTGAAGCACTGGCCACAAGCATTTTTTTTGGGGGGGGTATGGGAATTTGAACCCAGAGGTGTGTAACCACTAAGCCCCATACCCAGACTATTTTTATTTTTAGACAGGATCTTGCCAAATTGCTTATGGTCTTGCTAAATTGCTGCGGCTGGCCTCAAACTTGTGATCTTCCTGCCTCGTGGTGGCTGGAATTTCAGGCATGTGCCATCATGCCCTGCATAAACAATGCGAGGCTTTGAAAGGGAAATATTAAATTATGAAGTCATTGGTCTGATACTAAATGTCCACAGACTTAAAAGATGAAGAAAACATTTCTCCTGTGTGGAAGCGGTAGCACTGTTAGTACATAGAAGACTCAGAAAGAGTCTTCTTTTCCTCTGTGAACTTTAATGGTCTGTTGTACATCCTGAGGGTAAATGTTCCCCCAAATAACCCTCCGCATTCGTAGTTTGAATGCCCTGAAATGGAATAATTTCCCTTGCCTATAAAGATAATTTCTTCTCTTTAGGGCACACGATGAAAGCATCTGACACATAAGGAAGGAACGGATTGCTGACAAGGGCATCTATTTTTATTAATGGGATTCTGAATTCTGCAAAATGTTCGTGTTTCAGGCACAGTGACTCAGCTCTTCTTTCTTCCAGTGAACATGATTGTGAATGAACTTTGTCCTGCCCTCCCCAGAGCCAGGTGATATTTCTCATCTCATTACATTCAATTCAACCAATAAAATTTATTTTATTTGTTGATATCCTGCATAGGCTAGATAATGCTTGTGTGTGTTTCATCTTAACACATATTATAGAAAATTTTTTGTAATCTCCATAATCATAATTTCCGGTAACAATTCTATATTGAAAGCATTCTAGAAATATATTATCCCATTGGGCTTTGCAGTGCTTTTCTGTTTCTATTGGAACAAATTATCACCAACGTACTGACCAAAACCATGTGCATTTATGGTTCTAGAGGTCAGAATTCTAGGCAAGTCTGAGTCAGCAGACTACATTGCTTCTGGAGGCTCTATCACAGAATGTTTCCTTGCCTCTTCCAGCTTCTGGAGGCCACATACACGCCTTGGTTCATAGTCCTTTCCTCCCTCTTCAAAGTCTGCACATAGCATTTTCAAATTTCCCTTTGATTCTGACCTTCTGCCTTCCTCTTCCACATTTAAAGGGCCCTTGTGATTGTGTTGGGTTTGTTGAACAATCTTCTTACCTTAAAATAAGCTGATAAGCAGTCTTAATTGCATCTGCAACCTCAGTATCCCCTCATCATATAACAACATATTCAGAAGTTCTAGGAATTAAACATGGACATTTTTGAGAGTCATTATTCACCTGTGTTCCAGCTTTATGCGTTGGGTGGTCCTACTGGATTTCCAGCTTTGGTGCTCTGTCATCAGAAACTTGAAGTCGCTTGGAGTCTGTAGATACTCTAAGGAAAATGCTGGCTTTGTTTCTTTCTTGCCTCTTAGTCCCCCCCCCCTTTTTTTTTTAAAAATATAGCTTTTATGTATACCTTAATTTTCTTGCCATGTGAGAAAAATATTAAATATGCATAGTATTTTTAAGATAAAGCTTAAATTGCTGTCATTGACTGTAATATTTAAGATAGCAAGTGTCCCAGTGTGCCAGAGACAATATAGTTGTTCTTAGAAAATAAAAGTTTGTTCTGGTTCAATAATAATTTACCTTTTTTCCCCCGAAGGTGTACTATTACACATACAAACTCATGTCCAAATAACTTATCCTTTCCCCTCATTCACTCTACTTCATACCTGCAGAACCAGAATATATAAACCCACTAACCCAGGCATGTGAGGTCTGCAGCACTTAGCAAACTAATGAGCAATGGTGCCACTGGCAACCTCTCAGCATTGTGCCTTTCTGTTGTCCCTTAGGTTCTTTTTCATACTAGATATGACAAGTGACTGCTTCATAATCACAAGGGCAAGGATAATAATGGATATTTACTTTTATATTTTATTTTAATTAAACCCATATATAAAGAGAATGTATGTGTTCTAATATATTCTAATTGTATCCCCTTGGATCTGGAGAGTGTGCATCAGTGCGTTAGATACCTTCTCATCACTTAGGCTACCCATACATTCTGGGAGAAACCACAACACTTTTATTAAATCATTTTTGTGCATAATTTTGTATGTATGTATGTGGGATCTCTGGTACTCCTCTCTTTGGAAAGCAAAGGAGTTTTATATGTCTTGTTCAGTCCATCTTACTTCCTTGCTTAAGTAGAAAGCAGGCCAACTTCTAAATTCCTCTAGATAGATAGAGATATAGATCATACATATACAGAAATGTATCACTTTACTTTAAAAATTTTGATGAAGCTGATTTTTGTTTTGTTTAACCTGAAGATTTAGGAGAAAGAGGTAAATTATCAGAAAAGCTTAGAGAATTTATTCATGTAACTAGTTATGTCCAGTGGTCAGTACAAAATAGGAACCAATGCTTCTTTATCTTCTGTCCTTGAGCAGTGATTTCAAATGTTTCTCTTTATAACCCAAAGTACTACAAGAATATTTTCCATCTTCTATGAAAAAGTTTATATATAATGATTAAACATACAATGTAGCTATATACAGTACAAATAATTTTAAGTGCTAATGCAGCTGCACAATAGAGCCCAATAAATGGTCAGGAATTATTCTGGATACTTTTTTGAGGGAGTTTTTGAATGAGATTATTTCAATTGAGAGAATCTGAGTAGTCCCCTGCAATGTGAATGGACCTCATCCTATCAATTTAAAGACTAAATATAACAAAAGACTTACCTCTCCCAAGCAAAAGAGAATCTGAGGCTGTCAGCCTTTGGACTTTAATTATGATATCAGCTCTTACTGGGTCTCTAGGCTGCTAACCCACCTTTCTCATTTTGGACTTGCTAGGCTCCATAACACAAGAGCCAAATCCTTAAAATAAATCTATGTGTGTCTGTATGTGTATGTGTGTGCACACATGTGCACATACACATTCTACTGGTTCTGTTTATCTGAAGAACATGAATACTATATGCACATACAATATATATGTGTGTGCGTGCATGTATACATATACATAAATATATATATATATACATTTGTCTATAAACATTCACAAAAATTTATAGGAAATGGAAGTAGACATTTTGCTTTAAAGAGATTATCAGCACTGTGTTGACATTTAAAGAAATTTCATTCTTTATACTAATTCAGCAATGCTTATGGAACTCTGGTTGGGGAACATTCATTTAAGTTTTGAGTCTGGTCTGTTTGAATTCTGGTTCCACCATTTACTAGCTCTGTAACATTGGTTAAGTGATGCCACATCTCTCATACAACTTTTCTCATTTACAAAATGAGGACATTTATACTGACCCCATAGGACTGTTGTGAAAATGAATGAGTCAATTGTGCAATGTTAGTGAGCATAGCACAGGTAACTTTTTTTATTCTACTTCAGTTATTATCCAGATAGTGATTTTTGTCTTTCTTCCATGTTGATTACTTTATCTGATTCTTGAGAAGAAAAGCATCATAATTCCATAAGGCATGGAAACAATGTCCAAAGACATGTGGAAGAATAATTTCTAGAGATAATAATCATCATCCTGAATTGGTATTGGATGGCCAAAAAGAAACGATTCATGAGTTATATGAAAATACCTTAAAAATGCAAATGTTTTTCATCAACTGCTCTAAGGGAAAGAGACTAAGAAGTTTAATATGTTCTTATTTTTTTCCCTATGGAATTTCAATCCCATGAAAGTGAAGGAGTTTCAAAAAAAGATTTGCATTTAAAAAATATTCTTGATGTTCTGCTTTCCTGGTGATCAGCTTCTTTGCTGAGTGGGAATAGGAGAGAACTTGAGAATTCGTACTTATTTTGTATTTTGTATTTTTTAAATATTATCTGATATTTGCATAAGCATGAGAAAATTTGTATAAAATGCAATGACACAAAGTGAGAGCAAATTGTCATGGAGTTATGAGCAGATTGGAATGAGAGCTTAATTATAACATAAATTCTCAAAAGCTGTTAGTTTCTGAAAGTTTGGGCTAGACTTCAGGCATTATAGTATTTTTTCTGGAGCACCCCCAAAATGTCACCAAGTATATCTTTCAGTTTATTTTTATATGGCAAAGTACAAATTAGTATTTTTATATATTCAATCTCAACCTAGACTTTCTTCTTGCTCCACAGAATTCCTAGAACATTCTAGAAAAGGGAACATTATCTGATAGAAAATTTCTGTCATCCATTTTTATTTCATTTTTTCTTAACAATTGTAATTAAATATCTGAATCACATATTACACAATTGTTTCCTTAATAAATTCTTTTGTGTTGTTCTCTTGTTGTTCCATATGACAAAACAGTATATTCCTGATTTAGATTGTTTTTTTTTTGAGAGTAGTGATAATGTTTAATACTTAAAGGCATTTGTTTATTTGTTTGAAAAATTTTAAAACATCTACATTTCTTTGGGTCTATGGATTAATGTGGTAATTGATTAAAGATAAGATAGGGAACTAATGTTTCTACTTGGTCACTTAGTGCCTTACACTTGATAGTCATCCTTTCTCATCTAAGGATCCTCTGATGTCAGCACCATTACATTTATTTCAGTGAAGAAGAGTGAGTATTTAAAGGAATTAACCAACTTGTGCAATGTCGCTCTTCTAGGACACAAGGAAGCTAGAATGAAACCCAGATCTGTAGCTTTCCAAAGTCTTTCTCTTCTCTTGTCATAAATTTATAGATTTTTATAAATGTTAGATATCTATATGCTATAATTTTGAGTTTATTAAACAAATCTTTGTGTCTCGTATGTTCATTTGCTCATCATCTTTCACCTGTCTCAAACCCCAAATTTGTAACCCTGGATTACTGAGGTGTGAAGTAAGAATATTTGTCAACTAGAATA